ACGACGACGAGGACGACAACGCCGATGACGACGAAGATCACGGCGACGCCGACGAGGACGACGACGACGACGACGACGACGACGAGGACGACGACGACGAGGACGACGACGACGACGACGATGAAGGCGACGTGACGCTTCTGGGTCTGCTTTTCGCGTCCCCAGCGGCCCCTGGAGGTCTCCAGGCTTTCGAGGCCCCGGGCAGTCATTGCGGACCTCTTTGGGAAAGCGCGCCGGTGGATGGCCCTGAATACACAAAAGGGGGGGTGTGCTCGCAGACCCCCCCCCCTCCCCCCCTTCAAAGGGGGGGTGGGATTTTCGACCCGCCCCCCTCCCCTTCCACCCCTTTTGGGGGGGGGGCCGGGGGTGTCCGAACCCCCCCCCGACGGGGTGGGGCCGGGGGGGGATCCGGACCCCCCCCCTCCCTCCCTTTGGCGCTGGAAAGGGGGGAGGGTTCGACCCCCCCCCCCTTCCCTCCCGTTGCGCCGAACAGGGGGCTGGGGAGGGAGCCTCTCGGGTAGTGAGTAGAAAGTAGAGTTTTGAGTTGCGATTGGTGAGTAGTGGGTTTTTGATAGTGAGTAGTGCGCAGTGAATCGTGACTCGTGAGTAGTGGGTAATGGGTAGTGGTAGTAGTGAGTAGTGCGTAGAGATTTGTGGGTAGTGAGAAGTGAGTAGTGGGTAGTGAGTAGTGGGAGGGAAGTAGAGAGTAAGGAATTATGAGTAGTGTGTCGTGAGGAGTGAGTAGTGAGTTGTAAGCAGGGAGTAGGGATGAGGGAGTAGACAGTAGCGAATAGCGAGGAGTGAGTAGTGAGTAATGAGTAGTGAGTAGTGCGCAGTGAGTAGAGAGTTGTAAGTAGTGAGTGGTGAGTGGCGGGTAGCGAATAGCGAGTAGGGAATAGCGAGTAGGGAGTGGCGAGTAGTGAGTAGTGAGTAGCGAGTAGGGCCTTGTGAGTAGTGAGTGATGAGAAGGGAGTAGTCTGGAGTCAGTAGTGCGTAGTGGGTCGGGAGTGGTGCGTAGCGAGAAGGGAGTAGCGAATAGTGAGTAGTGAGTAGTGAGTAGTGAGTGGGGAGTTGTGAGTAGTGAGGTGTGAGTAGTGAGAAGCGAGAAGTGGGTATTGAGTAGTCGGTAGTGAATGGGGATTGCGAGTAGAAGTTAGTGAGTAGTGAGTAGTGAATCGTGAGTAGTAAGTACTGAATAGTGAGTAGTGAGTGGCGACTTGCGTCTAGTGGTTAGTGAGTAGGGAGTAGGGAGTAGTGAATAGCGAGCATTGCGTAGTGGGTAGTGAATATTCCGTCTTGGGTGGCGAGTAGCGGATAGTGAGTAATGAGTCGTGGGCAATGCGTATTTAGTAGTGAGCTGTGAGTACTCAGTAGTAAGTAGTGGATAGAGGTTAGTGGGTAGTGAGTAGTGCTTAGTGAGTAGAGAGTAGTGGGCAGTGAGTAGTGTGTCCAGTGAGTAGTGAGTATTGAGTACTGGGTAGTGAGTAGTGAGTAGTGCGTTGGGAGTGCGAGTAGGGAGTAGGAAGTAGTGAGTAGTGAGTAGTGGGAGCGTAGTGAGTAGTGAGTAGTGGTAGTGAATAGTGCGTATCGAGTAGCGGGTAGGACGTTGGGATTAGCGAGTAGTGAGTAGTGAGTATTGTGTAGGGAGTAGGGAGTAGGGAGTAGCGAGGAGCGAGCAGTCGATAGTGAATAGTGAGTTGTGGGCAGTGAGTAGTGAGTAGTGCAGTGTAAGTAGTGAGTAGTGGGTAGTGAATCGTGATTTGTGACTAGTGGTTAGTAGGTTGTGAGTTGTGTTTAGTGAATAGTGAGTATTGAGTCGTGGGTAGTGAGTAGTGAGAGTAGTGAGTAGGGGGTAGGGAGTAGCGAGTAGTTGGTAGTGGGTAGTGAGTCGTGGGTATTGAGTAGTGAGTCGTGAGTAGTGAGTCGTGAGTAGTAAGACGTGAGTAGTGAGTAGCGAGTAGTGAATTGTGGGTAGTGAGTAGTGCGTTCTGAGTAATGAGTGCTGTTTGGAGCTAGGGTTTGGGTTTCGTGTTAGGGCAAGGGTGAGGATTAGTGTTAGGGGTGGTCGGGGTCGGGTTCCGGAGACCGGGGGCGCCGTGGCGAAGGGGGGGGGGTCGAATTTGGCGGCCAAAAGGGGGGAGGGGCGGGGGGGTCGGCACCCCCCCCCCTTTTTGAAAGGGGGGGAGGGGGGGGGTCCCCACGACGGTTTCAGGCGCAAAGGGGGCCTGGTGGTTTTTAAGCGTGATCTTTTTCAGCTCCAGACTGGATGATTCGGCGGGCTTTCGGCCCTCCGAGGGTTTCATGCGTCTCTCTCTCTCTCTCTCTCGCTCTCTCTTCTGTGTGTTTTCGTTCGTAGCGCATTCCTCTGCCTCCTCATCCTTCTCCGTCTTCCTCCTCATCCTGTTCCCGATCATCCTCCTCTTCCTCCTCCTCCTCCTCCTCCTCCTCGTCCTCCTCCGCCTCCTCCCCCTCTCCCCCTTTTCTGAAGGAATGCCAGAACTTTGGGAAAACCATGGGAAAAACCAAAAAAAACAAAGAAACCTAAGTGGTGGAGACGGAAAGTTTAGGAAACCCATAGGAAAAACCAAAAAAAACAAAAAAAACAAAGATTCCACAGAGAGTGCGGGGAACACCCGTCCGAAGGGACACGTCCAAAGGGAATCCCCGCACTCTCTGTGGAATCTTTGGTTTTTTTGGTTTTTTGTTTTTTCCAATGGGTTTCCTAAAGTTTTCGTTTCCAGCACTTAGGTTTCTTTTTTTTTTGGGGGGGGGGTTTCCAATGGTTTTCCCAAAGTTGTTGCATTCCTTCAGAAGGGGGGGATGGGGGAGGAGGGGGAGGAGGAAGAGGATGGAGAGGAGTCGCAGGGAGGAGGTCGCGGGAGGGGTTCGTACCTGCGGCGCTGAACCCTCCCTCTGTGATGCATTCCCACGGAATCCTGTTGAGAGGCCTTCCATGAGAATCCCTTTGGGGTGCTTTCCAAAGGAATCCTGTTGTGAGGCTTTCCAATTGGATCCCTCTGTTGTGCTTTCCAATGGAATCCTGTTGGGAGGCTTTCCAATGGAATCCCTTTGTGATGATTTCCAAAGGGTTCCTGTAGTGAGGATTTCCAAAGGGTTGCTGTTGTGATGGTTTCCAAAAGGGTTCCTGTTGTGAGGATTTGTGTTCCAGCGCCATCCTCCCAACGGTAGCAGTTTGGATTGCGGCTTTCCAATAGAATCCCTCTGTTGCGCTTTCCAAAGAAACCATGTTGGGAGGCTTTCCAATGGAACTCCTTTGTTGTGCTTCCCAAAGGATTCCGATTGTGAGGCGTTCCAGTAGAATCGCTGTGTTGCGATTTCTGTAGGATTCCGAATGTGAGGTTTTCCCATCGAATCCCTCTGTTGTGCTTTCCAAAGGAATCCTGTTGAGAGGCTGTCCAATGGAACTCCTTTGTGGTGCTTTTCAAAGGGTTCCTGATGTGAGGCTTTCAAATGGAATCCCTTTGTTGCGCTTTTCAAGAGATTCCAATTGTGAGGCTTTCCCATGGAATCCCTTTTGTGTAGTTTTCAAAAGGATTTCCTTTGTGACGCTTTCCAATTGAAACCCTTTGTAGCATTTTCCGAAGGGTTCTTGCTGTCAGGCTTTCCACTAGAATCCCTTTGGGGTGCTTTCCAAAGGGTTCCTGTTGTGAGGCCTTCCAACAGACTCCCTTCGGGGTGCTTCCCAAAGGAATCAGATTGTGAAGCTTTCCAATGTAATCCGATTGTGAGGCTTTCCCATAGAGTACCTCTGTGGGGCTTGCCAAAGGAATCCTGTTGAGAGGCTTTCCAATGGTACCATTGTGGGGCTTTCCAAACGAATCCTGCTGAGAGGCTTTCCAATAGAATCCTTCTGTGGCGCTTTCCAACAGATCCCGATTGTGAGGCGTTCCAATAGAGTCCCTCTGTGGTGCTTTCCAAAGGAATCCTGTTGAGATGCTTTCAAATGGAATCCTTTTGTAGCGCTTCCCAAATGAAGACCTGTTGAGAGGCTTTCCAATGGAACTCCGTTGTGGTGCCTTTCAAAGGGTTCCTGTTGAGAAGCTTTCACATGGAATCCCTTTGTGGTGCTTTCCAAAGGGTTCCTGTTGTGAAGGTTTCAAATGCTCTCGGCTAGGTGGGAGAAGGATCGGCGCAGGTTTGACGCAGGACAATGGAAACATGTAGAGAGACAGGGAGAGAGAGAGAGAGAGAGAGAGAGAAAAACGGAAACACATCGAGAACAATAATGAGAGAGAGAGAGAGAAGGAGTCGTAGAGAGAGACTCGCATAGGTTTTCTTATTAAAAACAACACGCACAAAAACCACCAGGCCCCCTTTGCGCCTGGAGCCCCCGACGACGGACCTGGAAAGGGGGGGAGGGGGGGGGGTCCCCGACGACGGATCGGGAAAGGGGGGGACGGGGGGGTCCCCGACGACGGATCGGGCAAAGGGGAGGGGGTGGTCCCCCCCCCCTTTGGGGTCATCCAGCGGCGCGCCCTCCCTCTTTGGAGGAGGGGGGAGAGAGGGAGGATCTGTTGGGCATTGTCGTCGTCGTCCGTCCTTCCTCTTCTCGGCGAGCGAAGTGCGGTATCAGCGCGCACTTCCGATGGCCTGCGCGGCTTTCTCTGATCGGCGGTGGGCTCCCCTGGCGCCGCCCCTGGCGCCGCCCCTGGCGCCGCCGTTGGGGCCGCCGTTGGGGCCGCCCCTGGCGCGCACCGCGCGCCGGGGAGGGGGCCCAGCGCCGATGCAGGAAATCCGCGCGGAGGTCCAGCAGTTTATGCTCATGCCGCTTTTTGTTCCACCGCTCTCGTCCTTCTCCTCCTCCTCCTCCTCCGCCTCCTCCTCCTCCTCCTCCTCCTCCTCCTCCTCCTCCCCCTCCTCCTTCTCCTCCTCCTCTTCCTCCTCCCCCTCCGCCTCCCTCCTTCCCTCTCTCCCTACCCCCCGTTCGTGTGGTCCGCCAGGAGAAGTGCGCAGCCTCGGACGCGGAGTTCGAGCAGCGCATGAAGAGCCGCCTGGAGGAGATCTCGGCCGTGGAGGAACTGCGGCGTGCCAGCTTGGGGGGAGGGGGAGGAGGGAGGAGGAAGGGAGAGGGGGAGGAAAGTGTGGGGAGATGGAGACGGATAGTGGTTCGAAGCGCAAAAAGGGCATAACCATAAACTTCTCCTGGCAGCGCCTCTAGCGCATCTGGCGCGCTTCGCGCACCAGGAAGGGATGTGCCCCGCAGATCCAAGAAATCCGCGCGGAGCTCCAACATAATATATTTCATGTCTTCAACAAGGAATCCGCACTCCAACAGCGCGGCCCCCTAGGGAGATCGGACGGGGCTAGGACGAGGATAAGTTCGTTCCAGACCGTTCCGGACCGCTTTCAAAGCGTTCCGGAACGCGCTGAGAAGGTAGCGGCGCCCGAGACATTCTCCAGAGCCGGCGGATCTCACAGGACCTCGACTTGTCAGCACCAATCTATCCTCGCCCTGGCTTCGTCTTAGGTGGGGGAGATTGATGGGGATTTTTCCGACATCGCGCGCACGCTGGGATTTTCCCTCGTTTGGGCTTTTCCATCGTTTTTCCCTCGTTTGGGCTCCATTGATTGAGATTGATTGGGATTTTCCCTCGTTTGGGCTGTCTGGGCTGGGATGCTCAGGTGCGGGCTCTCCCCGCCCGGATCCCAGCTCCCCGGGCGCCTGCTTCGCCCGCGCCTTGGTTCGTTGATCTCTTGCTCTACGGGGCGTGGAAACGAGCACAGCCACTGCTTTTCTTCTGTTGCCGCCGTCCAGCCCGCAGAAACAGAGCAGTGGTTGTGGTCATTTTCGTTGAGCTTGGCACCAGGGAAATGACCACATCCACTGCTTCTTTTTCGCCCTGCTGGAAGGCGGCGCAAACAAGAAGCAGTGGCTGTGGTCGTTGTCCCGTCCCGCATGGTCGCCGTCTCTGACCCCCCGCGCGGCCCCCCGTCGGAGGGTCGCCATGGGGGAAGCGGGTCCCGAGGGAGACGGGCCCCGAGGTGCCTCGCTGTTCTCGGGCTCTCGGGGCCCTCCACGGGCCCTTTGGATGGTGAGAGATCACCTCAGGGATGAAGCCCTCGTCCTGGGGGAATGCCCCTGGGCCCAGAATCCGTTTCCCTGAGGACCCGCTTCCCCGATGCTAAGCGATGGCGACACCGTCTTTGTCACCGTCGTTGCCGTCGTCGTCGTCGTCGTCGTCGTCGTCGTCGTCGTCGCCGTCGTCGTCGTCGTCGTCGTCGTCGTCCTCGTCGTCGTCGTCGTCGTCGTCGTCGTCGTCGTCGTCGTCGTCGTCGAGGCAGCGCGCGGCCCGTCACGTACGGCGGCGCGGCCGCGCCGCATCGGCGGGGGTCTCGCCCCGCGACGGGGGGCGCCCTGGGCAAGCCGCCGGGGCGCAGGGGGAATCGGGGCCGAGGCGGCGCGCTGCGCCACGTGCGGAGACGCCCCCCCCGAGCAACCGCTGCGTGCCGCCGAGCGCGTGCTTCGGTGCCGGAGCAGACTCCATCAAGCAGGCGCGCCGGGGGCCGCGGCCAGCGTGGTCGCTTCTGCGTGTCGGGTCAGCCTCCGCCGAATTCCAGGGGCCGCCGTGGACGAGGAGGGCGCAGGAAGAGGAGGAGGCGGAGGAGGAAGAGGCGGAGGAGGAGGACGTGGGGAAACGACGAGGGAGGAGGAGGAAGAGCAGGAGGATGAGGAGGATGAGGAGGAGGAGGAGCAGGAGGAGGAGGAGGAGGAGGAGGAGGAGGAAGAGGGAAACGAGGAGGGAGGAGGGGGAGGGGGTGGGGGAGGAGGAGGAGGAGGAGGAGAGGAGGAGGAGGAGGAGGAGGAGGAGGATGAGGAGGATGAGGATGAGGATGAGGATGAGGACGAGGATGAGGAGGAGGAGGAGGAGGAGGAGGAGGAGGAGGAGGAGGAACGTGTACCCCTCCGCCCGACAAGTGTGTGCGTCACAAAGGCGAAAGCAACATGCTGAATATGCAGCACTGGAGCAAGGAATTGATGCTGTAAACACCACGTGGAATCGTAACAGTGTGTAAGGCTGCTCTGTGCCCAGGGAAAGGTAATCTTGACGACTCTTTGGATGACGATGAGGATGGTGGGAGGGGGAGGAGGATGAAGAGCGAGGATGAGGATGAAGGGTGACCGAGGAGGATCATGAAGACATTTGTTCGTGACCATGCTGGTGGTGATGACGAAACGGTTTGTAATTTTAATGCTGAACTTGCTGATGCGCAGGGTTCGGGTAGGTGGCATGATGGCGGTGACGACGAATACACCAGTGGTGATGGTGCTGCTGATGATGACGACGATAATGACAGTGATGACGATACTGATGCTGTTTTCATGATGATTGTGACGATAGTGATGATGATGACGATGATGATGCTGCTGCTGATGATGATTATGATGATGCTGATGCTGATGCTGATGCTGCTGATGATGATGGTGATCAGCATGATGATACGGATGATGCTGCTGCTGCCTCTGATGATGATGCTGATGCTGATGCTGTTGATGCTAATGCTGATGTTACGCTGCTGCTGATGATGCTGATGATAATGCAGATAATGATGATGCTGATGATGATGCTTATTCTGATGATGATGCTAATGATGATGCTGATGATAATGCTGATGCTGATTATGATGCTGATGATGATACTGATTATGGTGATGATGCTGATGATGATGATGATCACGCTGCTGATGATGATGCTGAGGATGATGATGATCATGATGATGATGATGATGCTGACGACGATGATGATGATGGTGATGATGATGCTGATGATGCTGATGTTGATGCTGATGATGACGATGATGCTGCTGATGATGATGGTGATGGTGATGATGATGCTGCTGATGATGATGATGCTGATGATGATGATGATGATGGTGGTGGTGGTGGTGGTGATGGTGATGATGATGATGATGATGATGATGATGATGATGATGATGATAATGATGATGATGCTGATGATGATGATGATGAAGATGATGATGATGATGATGATGATGATGATGATGATGATGATGATGATTTGGAGGATGATGCGGCTGCTGCTGATGATGATGATGATGATGATGACGCTGACACTGATGCTGATGCTGATGCTGATGGCGATGATGAGGCAGGACGGGGCGGATGGATGCTGTACAGATCGGGTGCTGGGATGAGTCTGAGGAGGAGGGATGAGTAGGACGCAGGAATAGCGATGAGGAGGAGGAGGAGGAGGAGGAGGAGGAGGAGGAGGAGGAGGAGGAGGAGGAGGAGGAGGATGAGGAGGATATGTAGGATGAGCAGGTTGCGGAGAATCCTCCTTGGCTCCTTGGGGAAGGCTCCAGTGGATCCCGTGGACACCTTCCCCGCTCCAGTGGCTTCTTGCCTGCATGGCTTTACGTGGTTCACGTGTGGCCCTTTTGAGACTGTTTTTTAGGGTCTGGCGATAAGCTCGGGTGGGCTTGCCCCTCCTCCCCCCCCCAGGATAACCTAGCTTTGCCGGTTGTGCAGGTCCGGGGTGGCGGGGCGCGGGCATATGCAGGGCTGCCCACAGCGCGATGGTTAGGTTATCGGCCGGCCCCCTCCTCCTCCTCCCCCCCACGGATAACCCGGGTTATCGCCGATTCAAAAGCACGGTCTCCTTCTGACCACGCAGACCCGCGAGAGGGGGGTGAGAGGTAGGGAATTGCCCAGGTGGGAATACACTGGGGGCGCGCATCAAGAAGCCATCTGCTTTTCGTTAGGGTATCCTGGGTTTCTTCGCTCCGCGCGCTGCGCGGCGACTTCCCGCAGCCGTTGAAGAGGCTGCTGCGTTCACAGTGCCCTGGGTTCCCCCTCAGATGTACCTCCCGCCTGCGGGTCTCGCACGCGGGAGTCATACCTGCAATTGATGGTGATGATGATGATGATGATGATGATGATGATGATGATGATGATGATGATGACGATGATGATGATGATGATCATGATGATACTGCTGATGCTGCTGCTGCTGATGATGATGATGATGATGTTGATCATGATGATGCTGCTGATGATGTTGATGCTGATGATGATGACGATGAGGATGATGATGCTTATGATGATGATGATGCTGATGCTGCTGCTGCTGCTGATGATGATGATGATGATCATGATGCTGCTACTGCTGATGATGCTGATGATGATACTGGTTATGATGATGCTGATGCTGATGCTGCTGCTGATGATGCTGATGATCATGATGATGCTGCTCATGATGCTGCTGCTGATGATGCTGATGATGATGCCGCTGCTACTGCTGCTGATGATGATGATGATGCTGATCATGATGATGCTGCTGCTGATGATGATGATTCTGATGCTGATGCTGATGCTGAAGATGAGGACGATGATAATGATGCTGCTGATGCTGATGATGATGCTGCTGATGATGATGATGAGGAGGAGGATGAGGATGAGGATGAGGATGAGGATGAGGATGGTGGTGATGATGATGATGATGATGATGAGGATGGGGATGATGATGTTGATGATGATGATGATGATGTGATGATGATGATGATGATGATGATGGAGGATGGAGGAGAGGAGGAGGAGAGGAGGAGAGGAGGAGGTGGGGGAGGAGGAGTAGGAGGAGGAGAGGGGAGGAGGAGAGGAGGAGGAGGAGGAGGAGGAGGAGGAGGAAGGCGGAAGAAGACAGATGGTGATGATGATAAAGAGGAGGAGGAGGAAGGAGGAGAGGAGGAGGAGGAGGAGGAAGTGAGGAGGAGGAGGAGGAGGAGGGAGGAGGAGGAGGGAGGAGGAGGAGGAGGAGGAGAGGCGGAGAGAGGAGAGGAGGAGAGGAGGAGGAGGAGGAGAGGAGGGAGGGAGGGAGGGGAGGAGGAGGAGGAGGGAGGAGGAGGAGGAGGAGGAGGAGAGGAGGGAGGAGGAAGGGAGGAGGAGGAGAGGAGGAGGAGGAGGAGGAAGGGGAGGAGGAGGAGGAGGAGGAGGAGGTGAGGAGGAGGAGGAGGAGGAGGAGGGTTTGAGGGAGGAGGGGAGAGGATGAGGAGGAGGAGGAGCCGGAGGAGGAGGAGGAGAAGGAGGAGGAGGAGGGTTTCTTGCGGCCGCGCCCGCGCTGTATCGCCCCCTCCGTGGCCCATGCATCGCCGACCTGGGCTCGGGTGCCCCGCCCCGACCAGGAGGGCCCGGCTCCTCGGATCGCGGGTGCGTCGGCGGTGCACCGCCCGCGTCGCGTCCGCGCTGCTCGCCTGGGCCTCGTGGTGGGCCTCGTGGACACGGCAGGGCCGTTTTTTCGCCGTTTCCGAACAGGTGTCTCTTCAAGATGGGAGCGGCAAGAAAAGACGGCGACCAGAAATGGCAACAAAGCGGCTCCGGGATTGGAGCCAGGAAAAAAACGGCAATGCCGTTTTTTCGCCGTCTCCGAACAGTTTTTTGATTCGCGGGTCGAGAGCGCACCTCTTCCGGGCGAAGCTGAGCGGGCCGCGGGAAGCTTGAATCAACAAAGAGGGGGGGACAAGGAGAGCGGCCTCACAGCAAGGCCAGGAGGAGGTAAAGCCTCGGGATCAGGCGGTGCCACGCCGTTTCCGAACAGGTGTCTCTTGAAGATGGGAGCGGCAAGAAACGACGGCGACCAGAAGTGGCAACAAAGCGGCTCCGGGATTGGAGCCAGGAAACAAAAAGGCGACGCAACGGCAAACAAAAAAGGCAAAACGGGACCGGTATCAAAAATTGCCCTGTCGATTCCAGGGCCCATTGAGCCCTGCCCCCTCCGTCTACCCCCGCTCGATTTGGCAGCGAAGATTGGAGACTTTCGGGCCCAGTGGCATGAAAACGCACGTGCAACGCGTGTGCGAAGCAGGACACGATCGGGATCCTCAACAGCGACGAGGCATTCGCCAACTTCGACAAGACCACCAGGATGCGGTGCCGCCTCGCGTGGCGACGTCCCAGTCAGCACACACTTGCTGCCTCGACACTGCCATGGTCAGTCTTCTCCCCTCCTCCGTTTCCTCCCTGTTCTCTCCGCCTGCGGCCTCGGTCTGCGTGGCGTCTGCAGCGCAGTGCACACCCCTGGCAACGATGCCCTCTGGCGTCTTCTCGCGGATTTCCGAGTTCCGGGTTCCGGGTTCCGAGTTCCGAGTTCTCTCCAGGGTCAGGAGGCGGAGGCGGAGGAGGAGGAGGAGGAGGAGGAGGAAGAAGGTCAGGAGGAGGAGGAGGAGGACCTGGATTTCCCCTGGCGCCGTTCCCGACGCGCTGTCTGTTCGTGAAGCATGCGGCCGGCTCTTGCCCACCCCTCTCGTCGGTGACGTACCCGGCATCTCCAGGGCTGGTCTTGCTGACAAGCCTTACGTAAGCCGGTCATGTCCCTCTACAGGAGGAATGCCCCAAAATAGTTCAAATATAGAACGGGGACGTTTTTTTGTTTTTTGTGTGTGTGTTTTTGTTTTTTATGTTTCGTCCAAAATCCGCCTGTAGGAGGACACGCCCGACCTAAGATATGTCGTGCCCAGCGGTGCGGCGCCGCACGCCCGTCACCGCCCGCGGTAGCGCTGGCGCGAGGGCTGACAGCAGCCACAGCTTTGGGCGGGTGCCTTTCTTGCCCTTCATTCGAAGAAGACAAATCGCCATAAACATAGACTTTTGGCGCTCGGCGCGGATGTCGTGGATCGGCGCCTGGGCCCCCATGCGGCGCCTCCAGCGCCGCCCCTGGCGCGCTGTGCGCGCCAGGGAGGGGGGTCCAGCGCAGATCCAAGGAATCCGCGCGGAGCGCCCAAAGTTGATGTTAACAGCGTTTTTTCTTCTTCTCTCCTTGTTCTTCTTCTTCTTCTTCTTCTTATTCTTATAATGCAGTCAACCTGCATAGTAAGGATGGGCAACCTTCCCAGGGGCACCCTTGCATCCTTGCCTCCTCCTCGGTCCATCCTTGGCCACCTTCTTTGGTCGCGCCCCGCTCGAAAAGCTTCGGAAGGGGCGTCCAAGGCCCTCGCATCCTCATCCCGCATCCTCGTGGGATGGGCCGACTGCACCTGGGCCTCCCACCCCCTGGAGGGTTCTTCGCTTCGGGTACGGTAGGTTCGCGTCGTGTCGTCCGGCGGCGACCCCGCCGCCGACGTTCAACGTTGAACGCCGACGGCGGCCCAGAATCGGTCGATGTTGAACGATCGGACGTTGCGGAGACGGCCGATCGTTCGAGGTTGAACGATCCAGCGCGGTGTCAGGAGCCAGCGCCAGGGTCGACACGGCACGAACCTGCAGTACCTCCGTGAGGCCCTGCACCCCCCCCTCGGCGGCGGGGCTTCCGTTCTCGAAGGATTGCAAAAAAAACAAAAAAACAAAAAAACAGAAAACAACAAACAAAAAAAAAACAAACAAAAAAACCCAAAAAACAAAAAAAAAAAAAAAAAAAAAAAAAAAAAAAAAAAAACACTCCTTCGCTCCTGTGGCCATGCCTCGACGGCGGGGTCCTCCCGCTCGTTCGGCCGGCGACCGTCCGAGCGGGCGCCGGGGCTCCCTTCCCACGGAGGCCCCGCACGGCCGATGGCGGCGAGACCGCCCTTCGCCGCCGGCGTCGCCGATGTCCCGTCATCGTCCCCGTCGCCGCCGTTGTCGTCGTCGTCGTTCTCTCCGCCGCCGTCGCCGTCGCCGCCGTCGCTGTCCCATTCGTTGTCGCCGCCGTCGTCGAGGTCCGAGGATCGTCAAGGGTCGAGGACGTCGGTTGCTGCACGTTTTGTGGCTTCGGGAAGGCACTAGACTCGGACGGTTGCCCGACCCTGGGGCCCATGGGTGCGGGAAGGTGTGCACATTCACAGCTCCCCAGGTTGGGGCGGAGTTCCAGATGCTTTGGATGAGGGTGCTTCTCCTGTGGTGCTGGGTCCTCGCTTTGAGTCAGCAGCGACCGCGCCTCCTCCTCCCGCCCACCCCTTCGCCTTCCCTGCCTTGCTTCTTGATCACGCGTGAAGATCTGCGCCGCCCCTTCACTGATGGGCCTTTTTTTCCACCACCACCACCACCATAAGTTGGAGGGGGAGGGGGTCCTCCTCCTCCTCCTCCTCCTCCACCTCCACCTCCACCTCCACCTCCACCTCCACCTCCACCTCGTCGTCCTCCTCCTCCTCCTCCTCCTCCTCCTCGTCGTCCTCCTCCTCCTCCTCCTCCTCCTCCTCCTCCTCCTCCTCCTCCTCCTCCTCCTCCCCCTCCCCCTCCAACTTATGGTGGTGGTGGTGGTGTTGGAAAACAGACTCATCATTCTCCTCCCCCCGCGTGCCTGCCGAGAGACCCTCCGAGGGGCTTCGTCGAGGACCAGAAGTTCGTCGAGCAGAGCTCAGCCCTCGTGCAGGCGTCGCCGCCCGGCGGAGCCAAGCCCGCCCTCCACGTTTTTTGTTTTTCTTGTGTTTGTTTGTTTGTTTGTTTGTTTGTTTGTTTTTCAATGATTCCCTCAAGGCGTGCGAGCGCGGACACTCATGGACATGGGCGATGACTGACAGCATCTCGTGTACGGCAGGTTCTCGCCGCGTTGACGCGGCGGCGATCCTGGCGCAGGCGTTCGAGATGGAACGCCGCTGGTGGCCCAGCATCGGCAGGCATCGAACGATGCGCGTCCCGCGTTGAGGGGTGTGCCGAAGTGGGCACGACGCAGCGGCGGAGAGGGGGGAGGGAGGGGATAGGGGAGGCGGGCGGCGCTGCAGATAGGGATGGCCCAGCATCGGCAGGCATCGAACGATGTGAGTTCCGCGTGAGCGGTGTGCCGAAGTGGGCATGACGCAGCGGCGGAAAGGGGGGAGGCGGGAGAAGGCGTGCGTCCGGCGCTGCAGATGGAAAGCGAGAACCCAACAACACAGGAGTGTTGGGGGGGAGGAGGGGGGGGAGGAAACAGGGAGGATCGAGGACGGGACGCGCGGCGCAGCGGACAACGAAAACCAGGGCCTGACAACACACTTAGGGTCATGAACAAACGACGGCCAACTTGAGCGCCAGAGACATTCCTCGCCATGTCAGCAGCACATGGAGGAATACGAGCGCGCGCGCAGACACACGCGCTGCTGCGCATGGGGACTCCCCGAAGTCCAGCAGCCAGTGAGAGCAGTCGAGCAGGTCGACGATAAAACACGGGCGGGACTGGACAGCGGCCCTTCGAGCTCTTAGTTTGATGACCAAACATGGCTATGTCCGCCAGTAGCCTTGCTAGATCTGAGATCGCCAGTGAAACGTCGCTATTTCCAGCAGCAGCTTTACTATCTGAGCATCGCTGATCGAAGGTCCTGATATCCGCCCGCCTATGGCCTTGCGAGCCCGGGACGTGATCAGAAAACCCGACATTGTCATTGCCCACCAGTGGCCAGTGAACCAATTTCTAGTGCAAGCCGTTGTGGATCTGCCGGGGCGCGGCGAGAGCAAACCTGACCCTTCGCCCAAATTGGGCGCGGTAGTCCTGGAGCAGCAGGAGGTGGGACGCACATTTGCCGTCGCGTTCTGCGACAGCGTGGCCTGCGACGACGGCGAGGGCAGCTGCAGGGGCCACGCTTCGGGCCCTTGCCTGGAGTGCGAACGAGCCGTGCATATTTGAGGAGACGCTGGTTGTGCTGGAGCGCGAGCGTTCCACGCGAGAAGCCGGCAGCGCAGCGCTGGAGCGCGAGTTGTACGGGGCGGCACGGCATGTGGCCGCACGGGACAGAACAAGTTTGCCGGACAGCCAGCTCGCCGCTCGCCACGGGGGGCCGGCAGAGCATCCGGGCTTGGCAGGAGCCACAAAAACCCAACAATGGCAGATTCAGGGACAATCCGGCTAGCGCGCATGTGCAATGAATGTGGTCTGAAAGAGGGCATGCCCGATCATTGCAATGCACGCGTAATGGCCTCGCACAAGAATGGCGACATTGCGCTTTCCGGCAACTTCCAGCCCATCAGTCTTGTCTGCGTCATTTGCAACTGGTTCGCCTCCATTCTCATGAAAAGACTACAGCGAGTAGGGATGGAGCGAAGGCTCATGAAGACGCGCGTTGTTTTTTCGCACTCTGCGGGTGGTGGGTCTTCTCTCTCTGCAGCGAGCCCCCTGCCTGGAGGGTCGTGCCCCTCCCGCCCCCCCCTGTGACCAAGATCCGCTCAAAGCTCAGAAGAGAAACAACACACACAGACACAAATCATGTGATCGTTTCCCCATCCATTGCTTTGCCGATCGGCGCGGGCCCGCGGACCCCTCCCTCCCCACCCCGTGGAGTAGATCTTGGCTGTCTTTGGCGCCTGTTTCGAGCAGGTGGAGTCTCCCCCCCACTTGACGCACTGTTGCAAACAGCTGCATGAAGCAGAGGTCCGAAGCCAGACCCACCCCCCATTTCCCCCCTTCCGCCCAATGTGGAAACGCCGAATGAGCAACCATTCACAATCGTCAATTCCCACGATAATGCATCTGGCGAGTCTATTCTATGGCAAGAACACCCAGCTTGCCTCCGGGTGGCCTGGGTTTCTCGGATTTCGATAGTTTTGCGATGGCAACCATGACGTTCCCACACCAAAAATCAATGGACGTCGTGGGGTCTCAGGGTTGGGTTTCTTGTGGAAGGTTCTTGTGGACTGGCCTCCACTGTAATCGTCAATTCCCATGACAATGTGGAACATCTGGGAAGAGGACGGCGCAGACGGACAGCCAGAAATTATGGACACTACAAGGAGTCCTTGGATTTGTGTATATCTATTTCTGTGTCCCTGGGCCACTTCAAAAACGAGCCCCCAAGCCGCTTCCGGGGTCCATCCCGGCCAGCTGTCGGGGCCGCGCTTGGTCTTGGTCTCCAGGATGACCAGAAACGGCCCGTAATTAAAAGACTGTTACGGCGATGACGGCGACGACGACGGTCATAGAATATCAACCTCTGTAGGACAAGGCTAGGACGAGGGTGATTCCGTTCCAGAGCGTTCCGGGTCGCTCTCAGAGCGTTCCGGACCGTTTTGAGAAGGCCGCGGCGCCCGAGACATTTTCCAGAGCCACTGGATCTCAGAGATTCTCGATTGATCCTCACCCGTTTTTATCCTTGTCCTGGTTTCGTCTTAGCGACGATGCCGACGACGACGATTCCAGAAGAAGATCAACCTCTGGACCCCTCCAGGGGTGCACTGTGGCCTCTGGCCACGAGCGCCCCCCCCGGAGGCCCAACAGAAAGCCGGAGGCGTGGCAGAAAGCATGCCCTGGTTTTTTGTCAGTCCTGAGGTTCGGGGGTGGACAGAACCCCCAACAGTGACACGTCGATTAATGAATTGTCCGTTTTCGGTTCTCGAGAAGGCGCCGCGGCCGTTATTTTCCAGGCTTGCGCCCGCCAGGTTTGGGCCTCAGGTTGTTTTCACTAAACCACGTTTTACTAAAAGGGGTTCTGTCCATCCCCGAGAGGTCCGTCCTGCCCCCCTCTGCGTGCCGCCGACCAGAGTCAGCGGCGAGCGATGGGGGGGGGAAGCGAGAAGGGAAAGGCCCTCTCATAAGGTGGCGGGGCCTCTCGGAGGCCCTCGCGCCTCCCGAGGAGTGCTCTTTGTCGTCGGGGATGGCTCCGAGGACTTCGCAGAGGGCCGGGGTGCTTCGAGCCTTCTGAGAAGGCCCGCCCCTTCTCACTTCCCCCCGGGCTCGCCGCCGACAAAGACAAACCAGCTGCTTCCAGACTTCCTCGAGAAGGGCGCGCGAGGCGACGTCAGCCATGCTGCGCGCCCGCGCGGTGGACGTGCTGAGGAAGGCGGGCGGGGCGGGCGCTTCCGAGCTCCGTGCGGCCAGGGTACCCTCCGAGGGCTCGTCGTTGTCGTCGTCGTCGTCGTCGTCGTCGTCGTCGTCGTCGTCGTCGTCGTCCCCCTCGCCGTCCTCGTTGTCGTCGAGGGGCGGGCGGGCGGGTACCGTCGATCTCAGTGCGGCCAAGGGGGTGTTCGAGGGCCAGGAGGACGGGAGAGATAGAGGCTCCAGGATCGGTGTTATATATACATATATATATACATACACATGAAGAGGACAGCAGTCAAGGCGCATCGCGTGCCATAGTCCTCCTCCTCCTCCTCTCCTCCTCAGCCGCCGTGCGCGTCCGGACTATGGCACGCGATGCGCCTTGGCTGCTGTCCCGCGAAACCTGCGGTTTTGCGGTAGGCGCTGCTCCTATTCCTCCTCCTCCGCTCTTGAACGGTGCGACGTCTGGAGTTCCCTGTGGACTTCGCATTGTCTTGGCCCGACCGTGGACGCCGGGATGGTCTTCGTGGACTCTCGGTTGTTCTTGCCTCCTTCCTCCTCCTCCTCCTCCTCCTTCCTCCTCTTCGGCCGCCAAGCGCCGTTACGACAGATTGTTGTTTTTTTGTTGCCGCCGCACGCTGCTGCGACATAATCTCTGCATCTCTGGCTGCCAGACGCTAGGATGTCCCTCGTGGACTCCTGGTTGTCCTTGTCTCCTCCTCCCCCTCCTTCTGAGCCCTGGCAGGGTGGACATCGCGGGGCTGCACGTCCCCTGTGGTGGCCCCGGGCATTGCGGGTAATTGGTTTTCGCCTGTTGCCTTGGGGCCGAACCCCGAGGTTGTCTTGCGGGCGCGTCCTGATATGCAGGGTGCGTCGTGACAAATTCGGCCTAGCTGTAGGACCCCGTGGCGGGCTGGCTATGAGGGCAGACCGTTCAAGCGAAAAGATGCTCGTTCAAGCGAAGGGCTGGTTCGTTCAAGCGAAAGCGCAACCAGCGAAAACTACATAGATAGACACATATTGACACAGAGAGACACAGAGAGACACAGAGAGACACAGAGAGACACAGAGGGACACAGAGGGGCACAGAGGGACACAGAGGGGCACAGAGAGACAGAAAAGGGCACAGAGAGACACAGAGTGACACAGAGACACACGGAGACGCAGAGAGACATACAGAGACAGAGAAAGACACTGAGGGACATTGGGTGACACAGAGAGACACAGAGAGACACAGAGAGACACAGAGGGATGCAGAGAGACACAGCGAGACATAGAAGGACACAGGGAGACACAGGGAGACACAGAGAGACACAGGGACACAGAGAGACACAGAGGGCTACAGAGAGACACAGAAAGACAGAGAGACACAGAGAGACACAGAGAGACAGAGAAACGCAGAGGGACACAGAGGGGCACAGAGGCACACAGAGAGACATTGAGGGACACTGAGGGACTCAGAGAGACACATAGAAACACAGAGGGACACAGAGAAGCACAGAGGGACACAGAAGCACAGAGGGACACAGAGGAAGACATAAATACAGAGGGACACAGAGAAAGACAGAAATACAGAGGGACACAGAGAGACACAGGGGGACACAGAGGGTCACCCGGGCTGGGCGCTTGACAGAGCTGGGAACCACGATCTAGGGCTTATCCGTGCCCGATCTCTCCAAAATCCTGGTTCCCACCCACCGTCCGGGCGGTCGTCGCTTGTGGGGGCAGGGGCCTGGTGCGCTCGACAGAGCCAGTAAACGGGACTTCGGGCTTATATCCAGGCTCGATTTTTCAAAAATCCCAGTTCCCGTCATCCCGGTGGTCGCTGGTCGCGGAGGCCCGCGGGGGCGGGGCGCCCGACAGAGCTGGGAACCGGGTTTTCGGGTTTTTCCAGGTTCGATCTCTCCGAAATCCCGGTTCCCGCCATCCCGGCGGTCGCTGCTCGTCGTGGGGGCATGGGCTCGGGGCGCCCGACAGAGCCAGGAACCAGGATTTCGGGTTTATCCAGGCTCGATCTTTCCAAAATCCCGGTTCCCGCCATCCTGGCCGGGCTCGATCTCTCCAAAATCCAGGGTCGATCTCTCCAAAATCCTGGTTCCCGCCATCCCGGCCGGGCTCGATCTCTCCAAAATCCAGGCTCGATCTCTCCAAAATCCCGGGCGGGGGCCTGGTGCGCCCGACAGAGCGGGGCACCGGGACTTTCGGCCTTTCCAGGCCAGATCTCTCCAAAATCCTGGTTCCCGTCGGCTGCGGGGCGCGGCGCGGACGTGGAAATCTTGGCCCCTGGCGCCCTTGCGCCCCGCGTCTGGCGGGAACCGGGATTTTGGAGAGCTCCTGTCTGGAACGTGCGGAAATCTCGTTTCCCGCCGGCTGCGGGGGCGTGGAAATTTTGGCCCCTGGCGCCCCTGCAGGCCCCGCGGCTGGCGGGAGCCGGGATTTTGGAGAGCTCCTGTCCGGAGCGTGCGGAAATCCCAGTTCCCGCCAGCTGCGGGGCGCAGGGGCGTGAAAATCTTGGCCCCTGGCGCGCCCGGCGGCTGGCGGAAACTCGGATTTTGGAGAGGTCCTGTCCGGAACGTGCGGGAATCCCAGTTCCCGCCAGCTGCGGGGCGAAGGGGCGTGGAAATCTCGGCCCCTGGCGCCCTTGCGCCCCGCGGCTGGCGGGGAACCAGGATTTTGAAGAGGTCCTGTCCAGATCGCGCGGAAATCTCGGTTCCCGCCAGCTGCGGGGCGCAGGGGCGCGGAAATCTTGCCTCCTTTCTCCCTTGCGCCCCGCGGATGGCGGGAACTAGGATTTTGGAGAGCTCCTGTCTGGAACGTGCGGGAATCCCTGTTCCCGCCAGCTGCTGGACCTTTGGGCGTGGAGATTTTGAACCCTGGTTGGCGCCCTGGCGCCCCGCGGCTGGCAAGAACCAGGATTGCGGTGAGGTCCTGCCTGGACCGCGCAGGAATTCCGGTTCGTCTTGCTAGTCGCGGGGCGAGGGAGTAGCCGAGCCGCGGTTTTCTTTGCCCCACGCTGCGTGCCTGAGGAGGAGGAGAAGGAGGAGGAGGAGGCGGAGGAGGAGTAGGAGGAGGAGGAGGGAGGAGGACGAGGAGGAGGAGGAGAAAGGGAGGAGGAGGAGGGAGGAGGAGGAGGAGGAGGAGGAGGGAGGGGACGAGGAGGGAGAGGAGGAGGAGGACAGAGGAGGAGGAGGAGGACGAGCGGAGGAGGAGGAGGACAGAGGAGGAGGAGGAGAGGAGGAGGAGAGGAGGAGGAGGAGGAGGAGAGGGAGGAGGAGGAGGAGGAGAGGAGGAGGAGGAGGAGAGAGGAGGAGGAGGAGCAGGGAGGAGTTAGGA